TCCATTTTGGACCACCAACCACATCATGGAGACCTCCAACCACAACATCAGGGAGACCGCCAACCACATCGTGAACGCCCCCTCTATGGAGAGGGGGGAGAGGACACGGTCCAGGCCTGACCTGGGCCGCCGCCCGCGGGCAGGTCATCATGGGGGTGGCTTTCCTTACTTCTCAGGCCTTTAATGAGCCCCCTCCCTCCTCTCCACCTTGCCACCCCCATGTGGCCACTACCCTCTCCTCTTTAGCGTCTCCCTCCTCCCCCTCCCTGAAACTCCTGGGAATCTCCTGGGCCCTCTCCTGGGCCTTTCTTTTTTCGCCCTTTTTGGCCCCCGCCCCTCCCCTCGCGGAGCCTAGATGGCTCCTTCCCTGGGCATCCTGGCGGGGGTCCGTGTAGGGGGAGGTGGTCCCCCCAGCGCGCCTTCGGCGCACGCGCGGGCCCGCCCGCGCGGACGGCTGCGTCCCGCGAGGACATTGAGCCGCGAGCGAAGCGAAGCGAAACCGGAGCGAGCCGCTCTGCACTGGAATTCGCTAATGAATCCGGCGGCCCAGGCCGGGCCTGCAGGCGCGCGCGCGGGGTGGCGCGCCAGGCCTCCGCGCCGCCGCCTGCGCTCGCCGCCGGGGAGGGGCGAGTTCACGTTCCACGAGCCGGTCGGGGCGAAGCTATGGTCATCAACCCGCCTGCAACGGAGTCCCACTGTCAGCCAGCGTGGACCCCAAACGGCGTTCTCTTGCAATCCACGCGGTGCAATCCAGGCGGTGCAGCCCCTGTGGTGCCATCTACGTGGCGCGCCATCCATGTGGTGCAAGTTGTGTGCTACAAAGCAATGGGATGCAGTGCGATGCAATGCAATGCAATGCAATGCGATTGCAATGCAATGCGATTGCAATACTATGCAATGCGATTGCAGTGCGATGCAATTACAATGAAACAAGCATTGCAACGAACTTCACAGCGAGCAAAGCAAATCAATGCAATGCAATGCAACGTACTGCAAAGCAACTCACAACAATGCACGAGACACGCAACACAATCTAAACCAATGCAACGTGATGCACAGCAATGCGCAGCAACATAAAGCAATGCAATCCACATCAACACAACGCGATGCAACTCAACATAAAGCAATCCAACTTAACGCAACACAATGCAACGCAAGGTAAATCAATGCAGAGCAACCTGATGCAATGCGACGCAACGCAAAGCAATGCGCAACAACGCAAAGAAACGCACGCAATGCAAAGCAAGGCACAGCGATGTGAAGCAATGAAACGCAATCCGATTGCAACGCAATGCGACTGCAATGCCACGAACGCTGCAACGGGGCGGCGTCGACGGGCTGGAACGGGGCCGTCGAGGCCGCAGATGGGCCTTGTATTTTGAAAAGTTGTGCGGCGACGGACGGGAACGGGTCCGCCAGGGCCGCATTTAGATGACCAGTAAGTAGGGGCCCAGTTGCTATCACCTACTTGGAGAAATAAAGGCAACCCAACTATCATCACCCATCCTCCGAAATCGGGAACCCGTATTTCTTCGCCCATCCGTGGGAGCAGCCGTAACTAACACATCATCCTCCAGCATAAGATGGCAGCCCAGCTATCGTCACCAATTCACGCGTGAACCAGCAACTCAAAGGCTCGACATTTCGCGTATCCCCACCAGCCCAGCCAAAACCGTTGCCCAGTCGAATTGAGATGACCATGGAAGCGTACGAGCAACCTTGGGGACAGTCGATATCGTTCGAGGGAGGACGAGGAGGGGGAGGATGAGGAGGAGGGATAATGGAGGAGGAAGAAGGATAACGAATTTGCGGCTGATGATGATGTTGATAATGATGCTGCTGATGATGGTAGAGATGCTGACGATGATGATGATGATGATGACGATGATGATGATGATGATGATGATGATGATGATGATGATGATGATGATGATGATGATGATGATGCTGAGGATGATACTGATGATGATGATGAGGATGAGGATGAGGATGAGGATGAGGATGAGGAGGAGGAGGAGGAGGAGGAGGAGGAGGAGAAGGAGGAGCCGGAAGCGGAAGAGGAGGAGGGCGAGCCGAATGATTAGAGGCGAGGGAGGAGGATGAGTAAGCGGATGAGGGGGAGGAGAAGGAGGAGGAGGAGGAGGAGGAGAGGTAGGGTGAGGAGGAGGAGGAGGAGGAGGAGGAGGAGGATGAGGAGGGGGAGGAGGAGGGGTCGATTTAGGAGGCGGATGAGGAGTTTTAGGAGGAGGAGGAGGAGGAGGAATAGGAGGAGGGGGACAAGGGCAAACAGAAGAGCCAGAAGCTTATTGAATGCCTCCCCGAGTCTCCCTGAATGGCGTTTGGAAACTTTGCGTCTGGGGGGCATCTTGGTGGGCCAAGGGCCGTCTTTGAGCGTCTTGTGCCTCGGGGATACTCTTGAGGCCTCGTGGGGGTCTCTTGGGAGCCTCTTGGAGGCCTCTTGGACGCGTCTTGGGGCAGTCTGGGCGCCTCTTGGGGCCCTCTTGGGGCGCTCGTGCGATCTCTGGGGGCGCTCTTGGAGCCATCTGGGAAGACATCGATACACCAGGAGGGGAACTGTTTTTACATCTGTCCTTCTAGAGTGCCAAACATCGCCTCCCAGGGCGCTCCTGGGGCGCTTTTGGAGCGCTCTTGGGCGCTCTTGGTGTCATCTTGGGGCTCTCTTGGGCCTTCCTTGGGGCCCTCTTGGGCCATTTGGGAGTCATCTTGAGGCCTCGGAAGGCTATCGACAGTGAATTGGCGACGATGCGACAATAATGTGTGGTCGAATGATCTGGTCCTCTTGGGGGCCTCTTGAGGAGCTCTTTGGCCACCTGGACACGTGCTGGAGCGGTCTTGGGGCCTCTTGGAGGCCATCCTGAGCGATCTTGCGCTGTCTTGGACGATCTTGGAGGTGATCTTGGCCTCTCTGAGGCGCTCTTGGAGCCGACTTGGGCCATCGTGGACGCTCCAACGCCTCGCGAAACCCCTCCGTCCAGATCCAGGGGAGGGGGTAGAGGGAGGGCTCAAGCTACCCACCCGCCCGCAAGCCGTCTAGCTCACTCCCACCCGCCCTCCCAACACATACGTAACACCCGAGCTTGAGCATGTTCAGCGGTCCTCTTTGGATGGGCAGCTACTGGGAACCAAAGCCGACCCCAGGTGCGCGACGCTTGGGCGAGGTGCGCCATGCGTGCCAGGTGCGCCACGCGCGTCAGGCACCCCTGGGGCCCGAGCGTGCCAGGCACGCCTGGTGCGCCAGATGCGCCACGTGCTCCACGTGCTCCAGGCGTGCAGCACACTCCAGCCGAGCCAGGTGCGCCACGTTCGGAGCACGTGCAGAGTGTGTCAGGTGCGCCTGCGCACGTGACAGCACACATCGGGAACCATGTCGGCCCCCACCATCCTTGTCGAAAAGCAATGCCCATCATTGTGTTTGGTGGGCCTGCGCACAGCAGGCCATACGCCACCACCCCCGCCGTCCCTGTCAAACGCCACTTGACAGAGATCGCGGGATGGCCGCGCATGATCCAGATTTTGCCGCGAGGCGCATTTTGTATTGCTTCTGTCAGGGCTTGTAGCCCTGCGCACAGCAGGGAATCTGCTGACACCCCCGACTTCCCTTTCAAGAACAATACAAAGTGCTCGCGGGCCTCACGCATATGACTGAAGACTGTGCCCCCAAGTGTACTTTGTATCGTTTTTCGACACGAGGAGAGGGGGGGGCGCATCGGCTTGGCCGCGCATGCTTCAAATGTGGAGGCAGAGTACGTTTTGCATTCTTTTGTCAGGGATGGTGGGGGAGGGTGCCCGCATGGGGTCGGCATGGTTCGGGTTGGGCGCCGGCCGGGTGGGGGAGGGGGTGTATACATAGGGGACAGTGATCAAGACACCCTCCTAGATAGCAAGCCGCCTGGCTCACTCCAACCCACCCTCCCAACACAAAAGTAGCACCCGAGCTTCAGTATGTTCAGCGGTCCTCTTTGGATGGGCAGCAGCTGGGAACCAAAGCCGACCCCAGGTGCGCGACGATGGGGCGAGGTGCGCCACGCGTGCCAGGAGCGTGCCAGGCACCCCTGGGGCCCGAGCGTGCCAGGCACGCCTGGTGCGCCAGATGCGCCACGTGCTCCAGGTGTGCCGCACACTTCAGCCGAGCCAGGTGCGCCACGTTCGGAGCACGTGCAGAGTGTGTCAGGTGCGCCTGCGCACGTGACAGCACACATCGGGAACCATGTCGGCCCCCACCATCCTTGTCGAAAAGCAATGCCCATCATTGTGTTTGGTGGGCCTGCGCACAGCAGGCCATACGCCACCACCCCCGCCGTCCCTGTCAAACGCCCCTTGACAGAGATCGCGGGATGGCCGTGCATGATCCAGATTTTGCCGCGATGTGCATTTTTGTATTGTTTCTTGACAGGGAGGCCCTGCGCACAGCAGGGGATCTGCTGACACCCCCGCCGTCTTTGTCAGAAAACAATCCAAAGTGGTCGCGGGCCTCAAGGACATGACTCAATACTCTGCTTCAAGTGCTTTTTGTATTGTTTTTGATAGGGATGGGTGGGGGGGGCGTGTTTAGTTGGTTGAATTTTTGGTTTGTGTTTTTGGCCAGGGATGGTTGAGGGTGGGGTGCATCGTGTCGGCATTGTTCCTGGTTGGCTACCGGTCGCCTTGGGGAGGGGGTGTATATTGATAGGGAACAGTGCTAGACCCCTCCCCGAAGGAAAATAAGGGGGTTGGAAGAGAAAGCTCATAAGACCACATGTCCTGAGGGGCTGGTGGGATATCCTCGAGCCCTGTGAATGCCTCTTTCGGCCACCTTCTCCTCGCCCTCGTCTTCCTCTTCCCGCTCATCGCTGTCGTCGTCCTCCTCGTCGTCGTCGCCATCATCGCCCTGCTCTTCCTCGTCCTCGTCGTAGGAGCCTTGCCTCGGCCCCCTCTCCTCTCTCCGCCCCCCCTTCTTTCCCTCGAGGCGCGCCTCCACCTCCAGAGACGGCACCCTCCAGGCACCGACGCCTTCCACCTCACCGGCTGGCTCCCGGAGAGCCTCCCGCTGGGCAGGCAGAGCCGCGAGGAGCCCGAGGGGGAGGAGGAGGAGTAGGAGGAGGAGGAGTAGGAGGAGGAGGAGTAGGAGGAGGAGGAGGAGGAGGAGGAGGAGGAGGGGAGGAGGAGTGGTGTGGGGCGGAGGAGGTAGGATCCAGGATCGACGACGACGACGACGACGACGATGACGTCGCCGCCATGTTGCTGGGTGTTGTGCGTTTCTGTAGGTTCTCGTCGCCGCTGCTGGACGCAGCTGGAAGAGCGAGGAGACGGAGGGAGGTAGGGAGAATGGAGGAACGATGAGGAGCATGGGAGGGAGGGACGAGGACGATGACGAGGAGAAGGAGGAAGAAGGGGAGGAGGAGGAGGAGGAGGAGGAGGAGGAGGAGGAGGAGGAGGAGGAGGAGGAGGAGGAGGAGGAGAAGGGAGACGAGGAGCGGGAGCAGGAGAAGGAGGAGGAGTGATCGAGGAGCTGCTCAGCAACAGGCCAACGCGTAAAAAAAGAGTACGAGTATGGGTCCAGTTAGCCAGATCGAGCGAATCATGGGGCCTCGCTTATTTCCACCCTCCCTCCCACAGCATGGTTTTTAATGGTGGCACGGGATTGGAACGCGCTCCCGCTTCGCAACCGCGAGGCGCTCGCGCGAGGCCCTGCTTCCAACGACTTGGCGACGGGGCAACCATGCGGCCCGCGCAGGGGCGGGCAGGGCTGGACCTGAACGCTGTTTTGCTGGACCTCGGCTGTGTTTTGTTTTTCGTTTTGGAAGGGAGGTACCGGAGAGCAGGTAGAGCAAAACTCAGGAGAGGAAAAAACACACAGACACAATTAATCGTCGATTCCCAGGAAAATATGGGAAAATATGGGACGTGGGGGGGAAGACAACAACCCAGAAAATATGGGAAAATATGGGGAATCTTTTTATTTGTGTGTATTTATTTGTGCGTCCTGGGGCCCCTTCAAAAACGAACAACATAACGAAAACGGCACGACACACAGCGTTTAGGTCCAGCCCTGGGGGCGGGACTGGCAGAACTTCCGATGGGAGCGGCGGAGACCGAGCGACCGCACTTGCACAAACAAGCTGCGCGCCGCTTGGGCGAGGAGGACACTTCGCCCGCTCTTGCGCGCTGCCCCGATGCTGCCGTCGTGCCGTCGTCTGCGCTTCGGCTTCTGCGAAGGAGCCGTGCGCTGCGCCCGCGCTGGCGCACCGCCTTTCGGCGCGAGGTGCACGCGGAGCCTGGGGCCGAGGGGCCGGCGAGTGACAGCTCCGTGCGCCGCGCCGGGGCGGAATGCCACCTTCGGGCGAGATTTGCGCGGCGCCGAGGCGAGAGCCACCTTTCCACCTGCTCGCGCGCGTCGACCAGGGGAACATAAAGTGACATAGCCATAAAAAAACTCGGAGGTCCGCGCGGATTTCTCGGATCGGCGCTGGACCCCCACTCCCTGGCGCGCGGAGCGCGCCAGGGGCGGCGCCGGAGGTGCCGCCGGGTGGCCCCAGCGCCGATCCGAAAAATCCGCGCGGACCTCCGAGTTTTATGTTTATGTCACTTTATGTTTCCCCCTATCGACGAAGCGGCGTGAGAGGCATGTCCCCGCCGCGCCCCCGCGGGAGCTCCGTGGTCTCGAGCGGCGAGCGCGGCGCCGGGGGGCGAGCGGCACGCGTCGGTCTTTCTCGCGCGCCGGCTGTGCGGAGCCCCGTCCCGCTTCTGGCACGAGTGTTGCAGCGCGGGTGTCGTGAGGAGGAGGAGGAGGAGGAGGAGGAGGAGGAGGAGGAGGAGGAGGAGGAGGAGGAGGAGGAGGGGAGGAGGAGAGGAGGAGGAGGAGGAGGAGGAGGAGGAGGAGGAGGAGGAGGAGGAGGAGGAGGAGAGGAGGAGGGGGAGGAGGAGGAGGAGGAGGAGGAGGAGGAGGAGGAGTGTTCTTGGCGAGACGGAGCACAGTCAACCCGTATAGAAAGGACGGGCAACCTTCCCAAGGGCACCTACCTCTGCATCCTTGCCTCCTCGGTCCATCCTTCGCCACTTTCGGCAGCCGCGCCCCGCTCGAAAAGCTTCGACGTGGGCGTCCAAGGCCCTTGCACCCTTACCGCGCATCCCCGTGATACGTGCCGTCTGTACAATACTTGTTTTGTTTTTGCAGATGGCATGGGACCACCCGGGTCGGGTCGCTGTGACAGGTACGCGCCGCGTCGCAGCGAAAGCGCCGCTTGCAGGCAACATCTGCGCGTCGCCTGGGCGAAACCTACACGTTCGCCCCTTCGCGCGTCAACGAAGCGGCCTGCGAGAACGGTGTGCCGCGCCCCAGCAAGAATCAGGAGGGGAAAAAACACACAGACATAATGAATCGTCGATTCCCCAGACAATATGGGAACATATGGGAAGTGGGGGGAGAGACAGGAACCCCGAAAAGATGTGGAGATGTGGGGATTCCTTCTTTTATTTGTGTGTATCTATTTGTATGTCCTGGGGCCCCTTCAAAGAACTATCGAGCGCGGCGCTGGTGCGAGAGCGACATGGCCGCCTTCCGCGCGAAACGTGCGCCCCGTCCCGGTCCTGCCACGCAGTTTGCAGCGTGGGCGACGCAGTCTCCTTCCTCCTCCTCCTCCTCCTCCTCCTCCTCCTCCTGACGGGGACCAGTAGGGGGCCCACGCCAAGAAACACCCCGCTTGCCACCAGGGTGCCGTGAGCCTCTTGGGTTCCGATGGTTCTGCGACGGAGAGCGTGACGTTCCCACACCAACAGTCAACGGGCGTACTGAGGTCTCAGGGTTGGGTTTCTTGTGGAAGGTCTCTTGTGGACTGGCCTCCACTGTATATTCGTTTGACAGGTCTGATGTGTCCACCCGGATTGGGTTGCTATCGGCCGGCTCGGCGGCAGAGTGGGATATATTCAATGGCCTTAGGCCTATCTTGCCACAGTGCCAGGGATGGCGGGTGTGGGCCACAGGCTTTGAAGATGTTCGTTGGGATGTCACGGGGGCCTCTTGGGGCCTGTGGGCATCTTGGGACGGAAGGCTCGAATTGCCTGTTCGGGATCCCATTGTTGGGCACTTCTTGGGGCCCTTCTTGGAGCCATCTGGGGCCGTTTTGTGCGTCTTTTAGGCCGTCTTGGGGCCCTCTTGGGTTGTCTTGGGGCCTTTTGGGTGGCCTCTTGGGCCGCCTCGAGGCGGTCGGACGTCTTGGCGCGCCGGGAGCTCGCAAAGTCGAGACGCCAAAACAAATTGCAGCACACAGGGACAATCTGCGAATTTGGCCTCTCGTGGTTCTGGTGTGGGTGCTCTTGGAGGCCTCTCAGGGCGTCTCGTGCGCTTCTTCGGCCGAGTGGGGGCCATCCTGTGCGTCGTGGGCCGATCGCTCGGCGATTGAGGGCCCTCTGGGGCCGTCTCGTGGGCCTCTCGGGGCCCTCTTGGCCCGTCTTGTGGCCCTCTTGGGCCAGAACACGGCGCGACAAGCCTCAGGGGGGCGCGCCGCGTGCCCTGGGCGATTTGAGAGCTAGGGGTCCGGGCCCCCTCGAAGAATCCCCAGCGTCGAGGACTGGGGCTTTCGGGGGCGGGCAGAACCCCACCCTGACACGTCGATTGGTGAACTGTCCGTTTTCGGTTCTCGAGGGGGCGCCGCGGCCGTCACTTTCCAGGCCTGCGCCCGCCAGGTTTGGGCTCGGGGTCGTTTTCACCAGGCCACGTTTTGCTAAACGGGGTCCTGTCCATCCCCGAGGCTTGAGGGATTACGCAAAGGACCAGAGGACGCTCCAGCTCGTGTCTCATGGCACGGTGGTGGATACCTAATAAGGAGCAGGGGTCGGAGTAGTAGGACGACGGTTAATACTAGAAACGATACGCATATTTGCACCATCCAGAACGTTAAATGATATTATTGTAGGTGCTCACAGACGCAGTCTGGTCACACTGCTCATAAAACTGTGAAGCATCTTCAGAACCGTCTTACCGATGCGGAGCACACCAGCAAGACTCGTAGCACTGCGAGCATTCGGAGGAAGAGCAGTGGCGGTGCGCACACGTGCGCCGCTCCATGCCTTGGTGAGTGGAGGAGAATCGGGCCGGGCGAAAGGGGGGGATTGGGAAAGGGGGGGTTACGAAATTTGCTGCATGCAGCTGGTTTCGGCCTCACCGAGGGGCCCATTCCTCGATACATAGCCGCCTCCCGGCGCCGGGAGGCGCCGGGAAAATCAGCTGCGTGAGTTGATTCTCAAACCCCCCCTTTGCTATCCCCCCTTTCGCCCGACCCGAGAGAACAGGAGCAAACCCATGATGCGCCCTCTCTCCGCTCCAGGGGACGCGCCTCGAAGGACGGCACGCTCGGGGCCTGCCACCCGGGCGAGAGGTTTGCCCGCCATTCAGGTGGCTAAACGCCACGTCGCCGATCCCCAGAGGGCGTGAGAGGTCTCGACGATCGCGGGTTGTGGCTTTCGGACCAGCCCCTCACCGTGCGCGGGCCGTGGCCCAAAAGCTTCTTGCATGCGGACGAGGGTCTCCTGGGATGCCTGCCTGGGGCCTCTTCGAGGGCCGTCGGAGGCATCCGGGGAGCTCCCTGGAGGCTCCTTGGGACCTCTTGGGGACCCTTTGGTTGGGGGCCTCTCGGGAGGGACTCCTTCCATCTTTGGGCCCTCTAGGGGATTCTTGGGGGCTTTTGGGGGGGTCCTGAGGGGCTCATGGGCCCATCGTGGGGGGAAGGGCTCGGAATGTCAGCTTCTGATCCCCCACCTTTGGCCCCTCGTAAAGTGCTCTTGGGGCTCCTTTGAGCCATCTAGAGGCTCCTGGCGCCGTCTTGTGGTCGTCTTGGACGCCTCTTGGGCTGTCTTGGAGCCCTCTTTGGGGCCTCATCAGCCGTCTTGGGACGATCTTGGAGGCACCTTGGGCCGTCTTGAACGCTGTGGAGACGAAAATAGCGAGTATGCTAGAAGTGTACGTTCTCCTCAGGGAATGTTTTTTTTCGAATTGGGGCTCTATCGAGGGAGCTCTGGGAACACTTTCGGGGCTGCCGTGGTGGCCGCGTGGACCGTCATGAAGCCATCAGGGATTGTCGTGGGGCTACTTTCGGGCATCGCGACTTCATTTGGGGTGTCTTGGCGCCTCGTTCGGGTCTTGCTCGGCTGTCTTGGGACCCTGGAGAGATTCCGGAGGCGCTGGCGATGCGCTTGGGAACTCCAGCCCCCTCCCCTGGCGGGCCCCCCCCCGCCCCCCCATCCCGCCCCCCCCCCCCCCTCTAATGCGATTCTACAGGCTTACGCCACATCCGCCGACCCCTTGTATTGTTTGGTCGCTCAGGTATCAGTTCTTTTGTATTTCCCTTCCCCAGGGGCTCTTGGGGGGTCCTGGGTGCCTCTGTGGGGGATGAGGCAGAGGAGTGGAAAGATAAATAGATGGAGGAAGGTGAGGATGAGGCCACGGCGTCAAGCGGGCTCTGGTAGGGGTCCAGGGATTCATTTGGAGGGGATGTCGTCTTCACGCCCCGTCGATTTTCGGGGGTCCTGTCCGGCGCAAGGAGAAAGTCTACAGCCCCAGGGCCGAGGCTCTGTCGGAAATGCGCGGAGGGGCGAGAGAAGGAGGTGCGGCGGGGGAATGCGGAGGCAGCGAATCGCAAACGGAAGGCCGAGGCGGACGCGAAGCCGCTGACGTGCGCGGCGTGCGGAGAAGCGTTCTCGGACACGAAACATTTAAAGCAGAAGCAAGAGAAACATCATCGAGCGGCGACAGGAACGAAAGTGGTGTGCGGAGGCTGCAAGGAACTCGGGTTCACAGCGCGCAGTTGCCAGGCGTATCAGTGCAGCGGCTCGTGCAAGAGAAGACTACCGAAGTCGGCGTTCTCCGTGACCCCTGACAACGTAGCGCGCGATGCAAAGAAGGGCACCCTGAAATGCAAGACTTGCAAATGATGCCCAATCGGGCGCGCGTGCTGGGGAGGAAAAGGGGGGGGGGGACAGAGGCGGGGAGTGCAACCCCCTGGATTAAAAGTCCGGACCGCAGAGGTCGGGGAATAGGCCTACATGTTCGGCTCCCGTTAGGCCACGGGGCCCCGGTACAATGTTGCAGGGGCCGCCATGGGCCGCCATGGCTAAATGTCCGGTCCATCCTCACCGCCTTTCATACTATAATCGCCAAATGGGGTGACGACCGGAAATCCGCATTGCCACCGTGCCTGGGTTGTTGCTATGAGGTTTGTGCGGTGATCGCTGGGATCTCTTGGGGGGCTTCTCGCGGGACTCTTGGAGGCAGTTTCGGAGCCTCTTGGTGGCCGTTTTGGGACCGTTTTAGGCTCTCTTGGGGGCATTTTGGGGCCTCTTGGGGGCGTCTCGGGGGCCTCTTGAGGCCTCTTGGGGCCTTCTGGGGCCGTCTTGGGGCGGAAGGCTCGGATTGTCGGTTCAAATCTCTTGGGGGGCTTCTCGCGGGACTCTTGGAGGCAGTTTCGAAGCCTCTTGGTGGCCGTTTTGGGACCGTTTTAGGCTCTCTTGGGGGCCTTTTGGGGCCTCTTGGGGGCGTCTCGGGGGCCTCTTGAGGCCTCTTGGGGCCTTCTGGGGCCGTCTTGGGGCGGAAGGCTCGGATTGTCGGTTCAAGCTCCCCCTCTTGGGCCCCTCTTGGGGCTTGGGGCCTACTTGGGCCGTCCTGGGGGCCTCTTGGGCCGGTTAGGCGCCCTCTTGGGCCGACTTGGGCGGCTCTTAGGGGCCTCTTGGGCCGTCTTGGCGCGGTCTTGGGGTGCTCTTCGACCGTCTTCAACGCCGTGAAAGCCGACAAGTCGTAAATTATCAAAATGTACGGTTTCCTATAGGAATTTGACGATTTTCGGCTCCTCTGCCCTTTTGAGGACTGCTCTTGGGGGTCTCTTGAGCCGTCTTGGAGGCCTCTTGCCTCGTCTTGGGGCCATCTTGGGCGTCTTAGAACGCTCGTTTGGAGTCTCGGGGCCCTCGTGTGCCGTCTTGGAGGCGTCTTGGGGCCTTCTTGGCCCGTCTTAAGCCTCTTTTGGGCCCCAAAGAGCCCCGTGATGCGCTCGTGGTCGGCCCGGGGGGGGGGGGGGTCGAATCTCCGGTTTTGGTCCCAGGGGGGGGTAGGGGGGGGGGAACTCTCTCACACGCCTAGAGACCCACAAGGGGTCGGCGGATTTTGGACCCCTCGGGAGGGGGAAAGGGGGAGGGGGATAGTCAAATGTCTCACACCCCCACACCCCCACACCCCCACACCCCCACACCCCCACACCCCCACACCCACACACCCACACACCCACACACCCACACATCCACACACCCACACACCCACACACCCACACCCACACACCCACACACCCACACCCACACCCACACCCACACCCACACGCCACACGCCACACGCACACCCACACGCCACACGCACACGCACACGCACACCCACACCCACACACACACACCACACGCACGCGCACGCACACGCACACACACGCGCACACGCACGCACACGCACGCACACACGCACACGCACACGCACACGCACACACGCACGCGCACGCGCACGCACACGCACCGCGCCCGCGCCCGCGCCCGCGCCCGCGCCCGCACCCGCACACCCGCACCCGCAGCCGCAGCCGCACACCGCACACGCACCCCCACCCGCCCCCCCCCCCCCCCCCCACAACACACACCACAAACACACACGCACGCACGCCACACACACACACACACGCACGCACGCACGCACGCGCACGCACGCGCACGCGCACGCGCACGCACGCACGCACGCGCACGCGCACCGCACGCGCACGCGCACGCGCACGCGCACGCGCACGCGCACGCGCACACGCACACGCGCACGCGCACGCGCACGCGCACGCGCACGCACACGCGCACGCGCCCGCGCGCCCGCGCCCGCTCCCGCGCCCGCTCCCGCGCACGCGCACGCGCACGCGCACGCGCACTCGCACGCGCACGCGCACGCGCACGCGCACGCGCACGCGCCCGCGCCCGCGCCCGCGCCCGCGCCGACGCCCACGCCCACGCCCACGCCCACGCCCACGCGCACGCGCACGCGCACGCGCACGCGCACGCGCACGCGCACACACACGCACACATAAACATACACACTCGCACACACACGCGCACACACACACACACCCACACTACACACGCACGCACGCACACACACACACACACACACGCACACACGCACACACGCACACACGCACGCACACACACACACACGCACACACGCACACACCACACACACTAACTACACACACTACACACACACTACACACATTACACACACTAACACACCACACACACTAACTACACACACTACACACTAACACACCACACACACGAACTACACACACTACAGACACTACACACACTACACACACTACACACACTAACCACTACACACACCACACACACTACACACACTACACACTACACACACTACACACACTACACACACTACACTACACACTACACACTACACACACTACACACTGAACACACTACACACACTACACACACTACACACTACACACACTACACACACTACACACACTACACACACTACACACTACACACACTACACAGCACACAAGACACGCACAAGCACTACATACTACACACTACACACGCTACACACTGCAGACACTACACACACTACACACACTACACGCACTGCACACACTACACACACTACACACACTACACACCACACACATTGCACACTACTACACAGCTACACACCACTACACTACTACACTACTACACTACTACACTACTACACTACTACACTACTACACTACTACACTACTACACTACCACACTACCACACTACCACACTACCACACAGTACACACTACACACTACACACTACACACTACACACTACACACTACTACACTACTACACTACACTACTACACTACTCACTACACACTACACACTACTACACTACTACACTACTAGACTACTAGACTACTACACTATTACACACTACACACTACACACTACACACTACACAACACACAACACACAACACACAACACACAACACACAACACACGACACACAATACACAACACACGACACACACACAACACACACACACGCCCTTGGCGGCGCCTCTGGTGCCGCCCACGGAGCGCTCCGCGCGCGAAGGGAGGGGGTGTAATTGGGTAAGGAGAGGGGTAACTACGACCCGGGAATCGTGCGGACCTCGGCAAGTTGATGCTTGTGTTGCCCATTGTTTTTTTTTTGTCCAGAGATCGTCGTCACGCTTCCTCCCCCCAGTCAACGAGTGGAGGCGCGACCCGAGGGTCGCGCCGCATCGCCGATGCAGCGACGACCTGGCGCGACCTCGTGATGCTCCTCGTTGTCGTCTTCCGCGTCCCCCCCTCGTGATTCTGTCCGTGATTGTCCTCGTCGTCATCCTCGTGATTCTCCTCGTCGTCGTTCTCCTCGTCGTCGCACTCGGCCCTCTCCCCCCCCGCCTCCTCGTCCCCGGCGCGTGCGGGCCCGGCAGGAGCTCGACCAGAGCTACGACGCTTTCCTGGAAGGCCCGGGTGTCCGCTCGCCGCAGTCTGGTGTCTGGGCCTTTCCCCACTCCGGGGGGATGGGGTGCTGCTAGAATGAAGTCGGGCCTGTCCCTCTACAGGGGGAATCTTCAAAAATCGTCAGGGGACGATTTTTTTGTATTTTTGAGTATTTTTGGAACATGTTTTGAGTATCTTTTATTTTTTCTTCCAAAATCCGCCTGTAGGGGGACAGGCCCGACCTAATGCTAGAAGTACACCTGGCCCAGGGTACCCCCAGGATTCTCAGGGTGGCCCAGGCGGCCTCGAGGGAACCACTCACGAGGCCCAGAAGGGCCCAAGGGGCTCCAGAATGGAGCGCAAAGCTAGGGGCACCTTGGGCCAGGGGCACTTCTAGCAACGCCTGATGGGAGGGGGAGGAATGAGAAGCGAGACATGGAGGAGGAGGAGGACGGTGAGGAGGAGGAGGAGGAGGAGGATGCGGATGATTTGGATGATGTGGGGCTGAGGAGGAGGATGCTGATATGATGATTGGGAGGGGGGCATGGGGTGTAGAACGGAGGAGGCTGACTACTAGAGGGACCCTGATGATTCGGATGATGATGGGCAGGTTTAGTAAGATAACATTATAACGAGAAGGGTGGAGGAAAATGATGCTGATTATGCCGATGCTGATGATGATGCTGATGATGATGATGATGCTGCTGCTGCTGCTGCTGATGATGATGATGATGATGATGATGCTGATGATGATGATGATGATGATGATGATGATGATGATGAGTAGGAGGAGCAGGAGGAGGAGGAGTAGGAGAAAAAGGAGGAGGAGAAGGAGGAGGAGGAGGAGGAGGAGGAGGAGGAGGAGGAGGAGGGGAGGGAAGGACGCGGGATTTGCTCGTGATCAGCCGCTCAAGCCAGAATTTATTGAGGATGTTAGGAGCCGGGCGCACTCGAGGCACAGCAGCCGCCCCCGCAAGGTTTCCGAAGGCATTTCGCCGCTGTCGACCATTTGTCTGTCGTAAGACGCCTTGGCTCACCGACTGGGCTGGCTGGCTGACTGACTGGTTGCATCCGTTAACCAGTAGGCGATTCGGTGTTTGGCCTTTTTTCGAAGGCATTTTCGGCACTGCCGATCATCTGTCTTTCGTAAGACGCTCTGACTCACCGACCGCTGGCTGGCTCACTGACTGGTCGCTTGCGTCAGTAGGCGATTTGGGTTTCGGGCTGAGGGTGCCACACATGGCGCAGCTGTCGGCAGGCAGTCTTGCTTTCGGTTGCCGACGGCGCCGTGTAATTAGGGTGGGTGCAGCCGTGGGCAGGTCGTTTCAGTTTCTGCATCCGTCAGCGCAGACCTCGGGCGTGATGTCGCAGACCGTGTTATTGAATCGCTTCGCTCACTCAGCTGGCCCATGTTGTCGCACAGCGGTCGATTGAACAAGTGATTGTTGTCAATGCGGTGCGGCTGGGTCAGGTTTTTTTTTCAGACGGGGTGCGTGGGATGCGCTGGAGGTGATGCAGTGATTGTGAAATCGATGAGGAAAGGAAGGATGAGGAGAGAGACTCATGTGAAGGAGGAGGAAGGGGAGGACGGATTTTTTCCCCATATCTGAAGATGGGATGTCTGCTGTTCCCCATATCCCAATATTGCTTTGTGTTATCATGTTGACGGCTCCGAGAACACCTCCTCCTCACGTCCTCTGCCTCACTCGCACTCAGACCTACTCATACTCCGATACTCAGTCATATGCAGACTCGCTCACACTCATACTCACTCAGACTCACTCATACCTAGACTCACTCACAAACTCACTCACTATCAGACCCGTTAACAGTCAGGCTCACTCACACGTACGATTCGACTCACTCATTGTCGGACTCTATGACCACTAGACTAACTGACAGTCATACCCCTCACCGACAGTCGTAATTGATTACTAGGTCGACCCTGCCAAATCAAGGGTGCCATTGCGTCGTGTGCGATCGCGGCCCATGCCTTCCACACTCCTATGGCAATGTGGCTCTCGGAAGGGTCTTGTGTGTTCTCCCGCTTGTCCTCTCCAATCAGCTTCGATCGTAATTGCTCAGACTCAGGCGCACTCCTGCCCATTGGTGGTCCAAGCTCACCGCGGTTTTATTAGTGTGCATCTAGCATTTGGGCACCCCGAGGAGGGGTGCCAGGAGTGGGGACACTCCAGGGAGTCTACGCCCACACTGCTGTGGATGTCTCGGGCGGTTTGTCTGCTTGCGTGCCCAACAATTCGCGACAACGGTATCCCCGTAGGTAGCCTTCCGACACCGTAGTTACTCTGCCTAGCCGCCGACGTAAAACAAGTTTGCGTGCCCAACACCCTCTGCTTTCGGAGCAGATTCTGAGGATGTCTCAGGCGAGGGGGGCTGGTTTCAGCATTCCCAGGGGGCGCCAGGGGCAGGGACACTCCAGCATTCGTGCCGAGATAGTGGGGATGCCTCGGGCGGTGCGCTTTGTGTGCCCAACATGATCTGCGGTCAAAGCAAAGTGTGAGCATGTCTCAGGCGGTGTGCTTGTTTCTGCCCCCCCAAACTTTTTTTCCGGTGGTCCCATGCTTACCGTGATATAGCAGGCGTTGCACTTGGGCACCCCACGGGGGAGCCGCCAGGGGTGGGCACATTCCAGGGTTCGCGTCCAGACTGTGGGGGTGCCTCAGGCGGTGTGTCTGTTTCTGTCCCCTGGATTTGTCTCTGGTCCACGGCTTACCGCGATACAGCAGGAGCCGCCAGGGGCGGGGACACTCCAGGGTTCGCGTCCAGATTGGGGGGGATACCTCAGGCGGTGTGTCTGTTTCTGCCCCCCCCCCCCCCCTTCGGAGGTTTTTCTATTGTTTGAGGTCCCGTGGTCATCGTGATATCGCAGGCGTGGCACTCGGTCGCCCCAAGGCGGACCCGCCAGGGGTGGGAACATTTCAGGGCTCGCGTTCAGATTTGGGGGGATGTCTCAGGCGGTCTGCTGGTGTCTGCTTCCCAGACTTGTCCTAGGGCTTTTGTGCTCCTCACTCGCTCACTCACTCACTCACCTCCTTTCCCTCTATCCCCACTCGGGACGCACTCATTCGCACTCGGACTTACTCATTAGCACCTCATCCCCACTCATACTCACTCATCACATCCACAAGCGCTCACGCTCATACTCACACGTACTTACTTTCTCATGTTCAGACTCGTTCGAATTCGGACTCATTCAGGCCCAGACCAACTCACACTCAGACTCACTCACACAGACTCGCCAGCCCTCAGACTCATTCATACCCAGACTACCTCGCACCCGCGCTCACTTCTATTCAGATTTGTATTCGTCACACTCAAAACTCTGACCCACCCACACTCAGACTCACTCAAGCTCAGACCAGCTCGCACTTAGACTCGCTTGCACTCAGACTCGCCCATGCTGAGACCCACTCGTATTAACACGGACCTTCGCACTCAGGCACAATCATACCCAGACCCACTCACACCCCGACTTGCTCACACTCAGATCACCCATGCTGAGATTCACTTGCACTGAGGCTCACACACATGGCTACCGCGATATAGCCTGCGTGTCACTTGGGCTCCCAAAGTGCCAGCAGGCGCCGCGAGTAGCACGCCGGATAGCGGGCGTAGAGGCGCCATGCGCGTTTGCCTGAGTTTCCGTGGGGAGAACGGCGAGAGGAACTCCCCCTCGTTCTTCCATTCGTGCGTCCTTCGTCTCTCCTGAAAGATGTCCAGAGGAGGAGGAAAAGGAGGAGGAGGAGGAGGAGGAGGAGGAGGAGGAGGAGAAGGACGTCACTGAAGTCGTCGCTGTCGTCGTCATTGCTGCGCCTGTCGGCTACGCAGAGTCTCGTTCACACCCATATGCTCCTAGACAGAGCTCCTCAGCGAAACGTGACAAGAGCATGAGATGCACAATTGCGGATCTCTGCGCCGAGTGATTATTCAGACCGCGCCGATTTTTCCTCCCCAGCCTGCCTCTTTCTCCTTATTCCTCACACTCACGCTCTCAATCGTTCAGCACACTCAGACTCGCTCATATTCAGGCTCAATCGTACTCGGACCGACTCACACTTAGACTCACTCATATTCAGACTCACGCGTGCTCAGACTCGCTCTCCCCTTCACGCAGACTCAGTCACATCTTTCCCTGAATTAGACTCGCGCATGTTCATACTTATACACGCACACTGACTGTGAGGATGCCCCCGCCGAGGCGCTGGCTTCAGCTCTACAAGGGGGGACCGCAAGGGGATATCGCACTCCTACGTTCGCGCCGATATTGTCGCGATGTCTGGGGTAGTTTGCCTGCTTGGGTGCCCAATATCATTGCTTTCAGAGCAGATTGCTAGAATGTCGCAGGCGAGGCGCCTGTTTCAGTACTCCAAGTGGGGAGCCTGCCGGGTATATGACTCCTCCGTTCGAGCCCAGATTGTGGGGATGCCTCAGGCGGCTTGCCTGCTTGGGTGCCCAACAGTCTTTGCTGTCAGAGCATATTGTAAGGATGCCACACACGTTTTGCCTGTTTCTGCCATCCAGATGTTTCTTTGGGTGGCACAACGCGCACCGCGATATTTCAGGCGTGGCGCTTGGGCATACCATGGGGGAGCCGCCAGGGGCGGGGACACTCCAGGATTCGCGTCCAGAGTGTTGGGGATGTTTCAGGCGGTGTGCTTGGTTCTGTTTCCCCGGATGTAATCCTTGTTATGGTCCAGTGATCACCGCGATGTAGCAGGCGTGGTACTTCGGCACTCCATGTCGGAGCCGCCAGGGGTGGCGACATTCCAGGGTTCGTGTCCAGTTTGTGTGAATCTCTTAGGCGGTTTGTCTGCTTCTGCTGCCGCAGACGTTTCTCCTTCTGTGCTCCAGTGCTCCCCCTAGTATAGCAGGCTTGGCACTTGGTCACCCCAAGGGGGAGCCGCCAGGGGTGGGGACACTCCAGGATTTGCGCTCAGATTGGGGGGGGGGAGTCTCAGGCGGTTTGCCTGGCCTTGCCACCCCCCAGACTTTTGCTTGTGGTC